ATTATGTCAAGCAATATCTCAGGAAGAATTGGGACACAAAGAGGGATCAGAGGTAAAAGTTGTCGGAACAATAAAGCTACATGTAGAAATTCCCAACAGTTGCTATCTCGAACCTGTACACGAAGTAGGCTAAGGGTTCATTTAAGTTAACCGCTCCTACCTGCACGACTGACAGAGTACAATATGCGAATGCCTAACCTGGCCTTTGATATATTTAAGTATATGTTATGAGTAAAGATAATACCATCATAAACTTCGAAATATTTTCCTAATATCTTTGGATAATTAACTGATGACCACGAAACACTGATACAACCAGACTCAGCTTCTAACAGGAAACTATTCTTTTCTATTCTAAAATATAAAATCGCGCTACATTAGACCCTTATCTAAAGGAACAGATAGGCAGTTTGACCAATCATGATTTAGTCTAAGAAACTGTAATTTTTTTAGCTGAGCGAATCAGTAATAGTGTTCACAGCCCACCGTCGAAATTTGAGCCTAGAAATCCATGTTAAAATTTTGAATGTTAAAATGACGACTCGTCAATTTAAGATAATCTTAAGAAAAGACATATATATAATATATAGAAATAGTGAGTAAAATTCATAGTTTGAAGTATTTTTAAAGGAAGTACGTGATTTTCGTACATTTCTAGTACTTCTGAAGACTATTTACATATATTAAAGGCTAACATTAACCACCCAAAATGGCACCCTGTCCCTTTAAATTATTTATAAGTAAATGGTTTCTATGTACAGCAAAATTTCCCGCTCTTTCCATTGTACTTACGATTGGACGAATTCAGATGAAATCGACACTGAGCGATGGTGTCTCACTACGACTTTCACTGAACATCACTCAATGCCGTATTAGTCTTAATTATCGTTTCCTGTACTTTTCAGGTAGCTACACTCAAAGCTAACAATTTGGAATAACAATTGGATTTAAATATTCTGTACAAGTCTTATGTCCACGTATGAATCCGGCTAAATCGGATCATGCCAGATGCAAACTGAATCTGTAGAGCTATTGGAAAGGAACCACCAGGAAGAGTTCATTTAAGATTTATATATTACATTACAATATTATTGAAAACAAACAAAATAATACCTCACATCTTGCACAATGAAGATCATATAAGATGGTCGATGTCCAACAGGCAGGGCACCATTAGCATTAAATTCACCTGTGGAGATTCAAATATGTATAATTAATAAATCAAATTAAATCAAACTGATATCACAGGGTCGATGTAAGTGTTTTAACCGCATTTACAGATTTTTGCTAAGCAATAAGATCAGAAACCTTTGCAATAATTAACTATTAGAATGTATCTTAATTTTAAATGAGGAAATATGTCATTGGCCATTCTTTCCTTTTCGTCGCCTTTGCATTCTATCCACAACAATTACAAAAGTTTCAACACAGGGACCCAAAACATCTCTTCTCCCCAGCAAATTCACAACATGAGCCACGTTACAAGCTGATGTAAGATTCCTTTTTGTCAATTTTATAACTGCTGCAAAGTCTATGGTGTTGGCTATATTTATTCTCGATGTTGCTATGTCTGTCTCATCTTTTTTCAAGCTTCATCAATTTCAAGCTATAACGAACTTTGTATTATACCTTGACTGCAATAGCCATCTATTCTTGTATCACTGCAGATTGTAAAAATGCAGCGATTTGGTCGGATTGTACAATGGCGAATATAGACAATTAGAGTCCTTATGTTTACAGTCTTTCTACCGATTGCTATGATTGATTATTATAAATGAAATTTGCTCACCTAATGGAATACTATAGTAACTGAAGGTCATGTTTATTGCAACATTCGCGGAATCTATCAACTGAACAGAAATTGCTGAATTCTTAGAATGGTAATACCGTAAAAATTTATCACTGCAATCTGCAGCTGAAATGGCTGAAAAATAAATTTGACGATGTCCTGGTTGTTTCCTTCTGAAACCTCAAACGGCCTACCGTGAAAGTTTCTCTACAACAGAACACGGTAATGAATGACAGCTGTAGTTTGCCGGAACTATGTCAATATTGTCACGTGTTCACATGATTGTGGTAATTTAATACTAAATTTAAGGACTGTATTTAGGTCGCAATATTTCTTGACAAATCACTTCTAAATACCAGAAGTAACGAGTTTCGCTCAAGATGACACATCGAGATTCATCATTCAATACCGAGTTAGATTCAGCTTTACGAAAATTGACTATTTATGGTTAGGTGCTCAAATTAACTTAAATTTGGCTTTAAGGGGTTAGTACTTATTTTCTACAATCAGGCGTTTATTTCGCAACAGGCGGGAACATTTGTTAAAACTTTCAGATTAGTTCAGGGACACATTGCTCTAGATTCTGGTGAATAGTTTTCATGGATTTGATCCAAAAAAAATATCCGACATTCGGAACAGAATGTTTCTTTAAGATGTGCAGAATATCATTTACTTATTACGTGTTTCGTGAAAAGGAAAAACTGTTCTTATAACTTAATTCCCACAATGCCTGAACTTTTTGATAGCTTTTATTATTATACCCCACCACATACAAAAAAAAGACATAATGCACAAATAACACTTACGCTCCTTTAATCCAAGCGATGGATCAATATTGGTTGTATCTTTTACATATAACAGCACATAACATTTATTTTCCGGGGGAGGTGACAGAGAATACGTTAAAACTTCAAATACTATCACATGTTTAGAAGTGGCTGCTTTTATTGTCCAAGTACAAACATTATCACTAAAATAGACAATATAAATATAATACAGGTACAAACATTATCACTAAAATAGACAATATAAATATAATACAAGTACAAACATTATCACTAAAATAGACAATATAAATATAATACAGGTACAAACATTATCACTAAAATAGACAATATAAATATAATACAAGTACAAACATTATCACTAGAATAGACAATATAAATATAATACAGGTACAAACATTATCACTAAAATAGACAATATAAATATAATACAAGTACAAACATTATCACTAAAATAGACAATATAAATATAATACAAGTACAAACATTATCACTAAAATAGACAATATAAATATAATACAGGTACAAACATTATCACTAAAATAGACAATATAAATATAATACAGGTACAAACATTATCACTAAAATAGACAATATAAATATAATACAAGTACAAACATTATCACTAGAATAGACAATATAAATATAATACAGGTTCAAACATTGTCACTAAAATAGACAATATAAATATAATACAAGTACAAACATTATCACTAAAATAGACAATATAAATATAATCCAAGTACAAATGTTATCACTAAAATAGACATTATAAATATAATACAAGTACAAACATTATCACTAGAATAGACAATATAAATATAATACAAGTACAAATATTATCACTAAAATAGACAATGTAAATACAATTCAAGTACAAACATTATCACTAAAATAGACATTATAAATACAATCCAAGCACAAACACTAGAATAGACAATATAATTATAATACAAGTACAAATATTATCACTAAAATAGACAATATAAATTTATAATTCAAGTACAAACATTATCACTAGAATAGACAATATAAATATAATACAAGTACAAATATTATCACTAGAATAGACAATATAAATATAATACAAGTACAAATATTATCACTAAAATAGACAATATAAATACAATTCAAGTACAAACGTTATCACTAAAATAGACATTATAAATACAATCCAAGCACAAACACTAG